CAGCACTTCGAACTCGCCCATGAAGGCATAGTCCTGGTCCTGCTCGACTACCCTCGGTGGTCCAGCCCAGGTAAGCCATCCGAGCTCGAAAGCCTTCTTCGCCAACTCAGCCGTCGGTCTCGATCCAGGGCACACGTATTTTGCCACTGTGAAGTTGGATGCAACATCCACGATCATAAGCACTTCGTGCATGTTCTTGTCGAGATCGGGTTTGATCATGAAATTAATGTCGATGGTTTCATTGAACTTATTGACCTTTGGTTATGCTGCAGTTGGTCGTGCTGCTGTGCGAGCCTGCTCTTCACATAAGTCAGGGTATAGTGCATCTGAAAAGTTGCGTTGCTTGAACTGCTCGTCGGCTCGCTCACCAATACTGTAAGTACCGAGCCAATGACTCCTTGCAGGGTGCATGATAATGGCTCTCGTGTGTCTTCTTGATCGCAGCACGCAGTAGCGGTGGTACTGCTGCCCAGTCAGCCATGTCGATGTTTTCGCCATGATTGCTGAAGGTTGCCGTCGCGCTCGCTTGCATAGGTGCCTCGGCTTCTGCCGGGTGAGCTTCGATCTCCTCGAAGATGTTGGCGTTTTTGGCGTGCCCACCGTGTTGTTTCTCGAAGTTCTTCTGGTCTTCGATGCCATCCACGATCGTCTTGGCTAAATCGGCCGTCCAGTTGCAGAGACTTGATGCCGTTCCCTTAGGCCTGTTGGTCACGCTCTCGTGGATAAGATCGCGATCGCACTTCACCTCGTTGAGCTTCTCGCCCACCATGATGGCCGTCGTTAGGAACCGCGCCGGCTTCTTCACTGGATCGCCCATGACGTCCACCAGATTGCTGCCTTCGGCGCACTGGTGCAGCATCGCCTCCGCAAACTCATCTCCGAGCCATGGCATGAGCTTCCACGCCTTGGAGGTCAGGGGGTTCCTCAGTAGCACACGCACTCCTCGAGGTTTGCAGTTGACACAGATATTGCTCGCGAACTGTAGGTGATTGATCCCCGTTGCCAGCTCCTTCGTCTTGGTTGCTTTTGGGAACATATAGGATATGTTTGCGAACGGGTCGCATGGGAAACCAATCATTCTCATGTAAGGGTCCTCTTTGTTGAGTTGCTTCAGAGCTTCGTTCTGCTTCCTGATGTCCAGCAGGTCGTCCCCGATCATTGTGTCCCTTGTCCGGGACATCGGGTATCTTCTCGTCTGAGTTTCCGAGGTTGTAGCCATGCGACCTGCGTATCGCTCGCAGATGATCGGCCTTTTCTCCTCTGGGGCCGCCCTGAGGGTGTCCACGATCTGCTGACAGTGGTCCAGCTTGCCTCCGCTGCTCACGTCGTAGGAGGACTCGATCGACCTCTTGAACTTCGGCACTCCAGATGTCAATGTCCTCGGTCGTCACTGACGGCACTGGTCTGGTCGATGTCTTCTCTGGTCAGTCCTTTACCGAGATGTTCAGGTGGCCCTTCGCGCTCTTCTTGAGGGGCACCTGGTACTTGGTGATGGCTCTGAATTCCGCCTTCCAGTCCTCGGTGTACAGCACCGTGCCCACCTCGTCCATTTGGGTTATGATCAGCAAGGTTGGCGTCTTTGACTTCGGTAGCCTCTGGAAACGTGGGTTGACAGATGCGCCAGCGATCCCAGCTGTCACCTCCTGCTCCCCTCCAGGCATGACGGGAACGTTGTCGGTCACGCTTTTGAACCTCATTGATGATATTCTCATCCGGTAGTTGTTCTGCCCTCCTCTGCGCAGTTGTCCAGAGTTGTTAAACTTCCGCATCCTCGTAGGCTTGCGGTGTCCATCACAGCGCGTCCGTCGGGTATAGGTCCTTGCCGTATGGCGTATGCTTCAACATCATCAGACTCTTTGTAGTTGTGCTCCTGCTTCGGCGATGAGGTCTCACCACGCGGTGCGTTTTTTGTCCCTGCTCGCCGTCCTGTCCATGTCCAGGTAGGGCGGACTCCATGAGGTAGTCGCTCACACACGCCCTGCACGATCTCCCGAAGTCCTCGCGATGCGCCCCACGCTTCTTGGCAAGGATCATACGCCAAGTTGCACAACCCAGTAGGTGATCTCTCCATTTTGATGTGCGCAAGACATTCAACTCGGTGCATTGCCCAGTCAACGAACCACCCCTCGAACTTTAGATAGGCTTGCTGCGTATCCAGGCAGCTGGTCCACGTATCTGAGATCTGCTTCGCCCTTTCCTTGATCTTTTGTAGATGTGCCTCTGTGGTGCTCTCGATTAGATTGTCCGTCAGGTCTCTCTCTCTCGTTATAGTTGACCATGTCGCCGCGCTCTGTCGTCTGAATATGGTGTCGGATCTTCCTCCGACTCCTCAGGTACCATGGTTAATCCATCTTGTACTTGGTACTGCTGGTGGTCATCGGCGTCCAGCGCCCAGGGCTTCTTGATTTCCATATCCCTCGCAATCTCCATCGTCGCCAGGTTGTTGATCTCTTCCATGGTCGCTTCCATGGTGGCCAGCTGATCGTTGGCCAGCTGGATGGCTGTCAGGTCCATCCAGTTGTCTGCCAAGAGCAGCTTGATCGCCGTTGCCATCGCAAAGCCAGCTCGACGCAGAAACTCTCCCGGTCCTTGCAAAACCCTCCACGTGCACCACGTCCACCACGTTGTGTGGCTCAAGCTGCTGCTTGATGGTCTCGTTTTGTCGCACTCTGGGTTACCCTTCCAGTGGCCCTTCTTGCCACACGCCTTTCAGTTCGTGCGCGCCTTCATATCCTTGACATTGTCATCGGCATCCTTGCTATCCATCTTGATGGAGCTGGTGTTGTTGATGTTGGCCTTCAGCCTCGATTCGATTCGTTCTCAGCTAGCCGCTCCCGGGCCTGCTTGTAGTTGGGCTTGTGGTTTCGGCGTCCAGCCTTCCATCCCAGTCGTTGAGCCTCTGCTTCTGAAGTGTAACTTTCCTCCTGGCGGATCTCCTCAGCATCGATGTCGTTTATGATTCCCTCGAACTCGTTGATGTCGGCGGCCAGGGCCTCGTAGTCCGAGTCATGAAGATGTCCCCGTCGTCGCGCAGTCCCCCGTGATCTCCCAGAAGGTCATCTTCTTCATCTTCGTAGTCTGCTGCATAGGCTCCATGTCGTCCTTGTCCACGATCTTCTCGACCAGAAGTGTCTAGCTGAATCTGCATCGCCGCCGTCACGTCGTCCCAGATGCATTCGCTGTCGCATTGTCCGAGGATGGCCTTATGCTAGGTCATGCTTATATTTGCCAACTTCAAGAAGTATATTCGTAGGTCTTCGCTCACCGTCGTATGTGTCGAGAGTGACTTCGACCTCTCATACTCCGTCTCCCGCCTTGAAATGTAGTCCTGAATTGACTCCGATCGCAGTTGGAGGCCCTTGGAGAAAACCTCATACAATGCCTGTTGCTTTTGTAGTGGCGCGATCCTCTCGCATGCTGTTTGAACCGTTGCCACTACCAGCTGTGTTGAAGCAGGCGAGTCCTCACCTGCTCTCTTCAGGACTGCTTGAGTCGTAATCTCGACCTCCTTGCGCGTGAGATTCCACGCCCTTCCATGGAGTGCTCTCTTGAGCTTAATCGCGTAGAGCTTCTGAAACTTTTTCTCATTCGCATGGTAGCCAACAATCCTAAGCTCCTCGAACTCCTCCCTGTAGGCAGGGTGGCCATTGTAGTGAACCACGCCTTCCCTGTCGATGTAGAGGGGTACTTCCTGGAGCTGATGCTTGGGCGTCGTCATCTTGCCGGGCAGGCAGCTGCCGCTGAACACGTTGTAGCGGATGTTGTTGTATTCGCCCGGGCTGTCGTTACCGTTGTCGAAGCTGTGGGCGACGAGGCCCTCGATGATGTGGAGTGCGCTGTGGAAATTCACTAACGCGAGAATGAGCGCCAGCATGTAGTCTTGCACGGCCACCCTATATGATATTCTCGCAGACGTGGGACAGAAATTGCCCACGCGACCAGTGCAACTGATAGTCACAATAATCCAACCCACACGTCGTTGATGAAAGAGAAGCAAGTCAAACAGTTATAACTTATTCCGCAGTCAGGCTTACTCATGTGTAGGTGCGTCCATTTTCCGCCCAGTTGTGAGCCGAGTGGCGAGAGGAAATTTCCAGCACGAGCGAGAAAGAGCAACATCAGCAGATCATTTTCCCAGCATGCCCCTTCTATACTCTTCTGCGTACTAAGCTGCGTTTCACATACTCTTCCCTCGTTGTCCCTGTTTGGGGCCTCCTGGGAGGCCCTAGTCGCCACCGATGGATTCGCTTCGAAATTCTGGTCAGAACGCACCCTCGGAGAGGTCCTGGGAGTAAGTAGCGGTATCGGTACCATTCTGGTTGACTGGAGTCTCCCTAACCCGAGTCTTACGTCTCCTTGATATCAGGTCGATTTTGCTAAATCGAGGGTGCTCTTGTGCCCTATGTTTCGCGAACCATTCCGCATTCCTATGTCAATGTGGCCCGCGGAAAGGTTTTGTACCCTCTCGGGTGTCCTCCCCGGTCGAACTCGATTGGGGGGAGGGGGGAAGGCGTCTCAGAAGCACCCTTGCTTCTTAGAAGGCGCGGACCCTTTCTGTATGTGTAGGGCCAACTTCTAAGGAGCAGCTTCCTTCTACAAAGCCTTCCCCATTCCCCCTACCCCTTCTGCGCACCGCCGACTACCCTCTCCGATCAACGAGTCAGGCAACTCGATGAGAAGTGGGGTAGGTTTCGGAATTCGGCGAGCACGTGGCGTAAACCAAGCTCTAACCTCCGCACCCCGTAGATTCAGGAGAATCGATGGTTGGTGGGGGTAGGGTTCGGATGTCGTCGCTTAGGAATCGGCCCGTTCGAAATGGGCACGGAAAGATCGGATGCGAAGATCGACAGCAGGTCTTCTTCATTAGGGTTTGTTGTTTGTGTCGCCGCGGGCGTTGCCCATTTGGAACCGACAGCAGGCTGCTTGCCCAACAACGGCCCTTGTTGGGGTCGTTTGGCAGCGTACTCCTTTTTGTTCGTACCCACTTCGGGCGTCCCCCAAGGCCAAGGAAGCCTCCGCCGAAGCAGAGGCCGCCGCTGCACCAGGTGGCCTGGGACGACAGGCACCACCTGGCCCCCGGCGACGGCGGAAACAAAGACAGCATACGTTGATGATGTTGTTGATGATGTTGCTGATGCTGATGCTGCTGATTATGATGACGATGATGATGATGATGATGATGATTATGATGATGACGATGATGATGATGATCATGGTGGTGGTGATGATGAGGATGATGTTGCTTCAGCGGATGATGATACTGATGATGATGTTGTTGTTGATGATGATCATCATCATCACCATCATCATGACGTTTTCGTCGTGAGCGCTAGGCCGTAGCCTCTGGCGTTTCTTTGGTGGCTGACTGGGATTCTGCCTTCCCCAGAAGTACCCTTGGTGGCATAGCGGGTTGAGTCTTGAGCCACAAAGGCTACGGTTGGAGCTCCGCATGATTTGTTGGAGATCCACGTGGATTTCTTGGATCGGCGCCTGGGCCCCCCTTAGCGGCGCCTCTGGCGCCGCCCCTGGCGCGCTCCGCGCGCCAGGAGGGGGGCTTCAGCACTGATCCACGGAATGCGTGCGGAAAATCAAAGCTTATGTTTATGCAGCGCTGTCTTCCCATAGGCGAGAACGAGATGCTGCCGAAAAAGCTGCGAGCCTACTTCTCCAGGCCCGAGTCGGAGGACGAGCTGAAGGAGGTGCTGGCAGAGAAGGGGGAGCTGCTCCTGCTGAGGCGGCTGGAGCAGGAGGACAAGGCGTCTCCCGCGCCCTCGCCGCTGTCCACGGACGCCGGCCCGGCCCCGTGCCCGGAGATCTGGGCACGCTGATTGTGCGCTCGTGGCAAGTCCTGGCCAGACCCAGCCTTGGGCCGATCGGTCCCCATGCCCCAGACCTCGCGTCGTCGAGCAATCGAGCGACGGGGCGCTGCCGATCACTCTCGGACTCCGGGGGCCTTTGTTGGTCGGGGGCGGCCAAGAGGGAGGTGATGGCTAGGGGACATGATGGCGGGGGCCATGAGATCTCCCCAAATTTCCGGCGGCTCTTATCATTTTTCAATACGTCCTTGGCCCCCCCCCCCCCCCGGGCCGCGCGCCGCCGGCCATGATCTGCGCTCCCCCCTCTTGGACGCCCCCCTCTTGGACGCCCCCGAGTTGGGCCATGGGGCCGATCCTGGGCCTAGGATGCGGGGCCTCTGGCCAGGCTCGGTGCTGGTGTGCGCTTGGGGGCGCCCCGTCAGGAGAGGCACGTCCGCGGGGGCCACATGCGCGACAGGGACGGCCAGGTGTGGGGGACAAGGGGAAGCGCGACACCACCACCACGAGCGCGAGGAGCCAGGGGGCCCCTCCCCTGCTCTCCTCGAGGGATCTCCAGCCTCCAGCTCGTAGAGTGATGGGTCAGTTTTCCACCACTACCATAGGTAGGACGGGGGAGAAGGGAGGACGGGGAGGTCCTCCTCCTCCTCCCTGCCCTCCTCCTCCTCCTCCTCCTCCTCCTCTTCCTCCTCCGTCCTCTCCTACCTATCATAGTGGTGGTGGAAAGTCGGCCCATCGCAGAGGCATCCTGGTGGTGGTTGGTGGTGGCGGCGTCGCCTCCCCCCTCCTCCCGAGAGGTGAAGGCCTGGAACGACCGCTGGCACGCCAGCGCCTCGAACCTCAACGCCGGCGCGCACCCGGCCCACAGGCAGTACTTCTCGAGGGACTCCCCCTTCCAGAGCGCACCGTCCCAGGCGGCGTCCCCTGCTCGACCCCTCTGCCGGTTCCCCTGCTTTCTCAGCGATGCTGCTGTGCCCTCCGCATCCTTTTCTCGTCCCTCCTGGGCCCTCCTCCTCCCTCCCTGGCTCTTCTCTCCCCGATCCCTCCTCCTCAGGCCCCTGTTCCTCCTCTCCTTCTTCCCTCGTCTCGCACGCACCTCATCCTTCTCCGACTCTTTCTCATCCTCGTTATCCTCTTGCCTCCCCCTTCTTCTCTCCACCTTATGCATCCTCATCTTCCTCTCTCCTCCTTCTCCTCGCCGGTGATCCTCATCCTCTGCTCTCCTCTTCCTCCATCACCTTTTCCCATCCCTTCACCTCATCTCCCCTCCTCCGACGCCTTCCTTTTCCCTCCTCCTACGCCGCTCTCCTCCCTCAGCTTTGGTTCCAGTCTCAGCTGTGCCCCTAGTCGGCATTCCGCTCGCACGGGTGTCCCCCCCCCCTCCTCCGACGACGACGGCGACGACGACGACGACCGTCCCAGAAATGGCGCCGCTTCATGGACCTGAAGGTGAACGATGGCGACGACCCGGACGCGCGGTGGCAGTCCGACGGCTCCTCGAGGCCTCCCAGGTTCGGCCCCATGGGCGGGTAGCGCGCGCCATGTCGCGGCCCTTCTGGCCTGTCTTGCATGTCCTCTCCCTTCATCCCTCCCTCTCTCTCTCTCTCTCTCTCCCTATAACCTCAAGAAGTATTGAAGAAGCCCCCCTCCCCCTTCCGGCTTAAGGGTGATTCTTCCGCACCGGGCAGCCCCAGGAAGCAATCAACCCCGTACCGGAGGGATGTTGTGGCTCTCGCTCGCCTTGGCGCCGCGGGCATTTGCTTCAACAACTTGGAAATGCTTCACGGATAGAGGGTGGTTTGTGACTCTCGCCTTAGCGCCGCGCACATTCGTTTCAAACATTCGCAAGAGCTTCACGGACGAAGGGCGGTTCGTTTTCGAAATGTGGCTCTCGCTTGAGTGCCGCGCGCATTCGTTGTCAAATCGTTGCAAGAGTTTTCACGGGTTGACGGCGGCTCGTTTTCAACATGTTGTTCTCGCCCCAGCGCCGCGCACATTCGATTTCCAAACCATGCAAGAGCTTCACGGATGGAGGGCGGCTCGTTTTCAAAATGTGTTTCTTGTTTCAGTGCCGCGCTTTGGTTCTTTAAAAACTAGCAAGAGATTCGCGGATGGAGGGCGTCTCGTTTTCAAAATGCGGCTCTCGCCTCAGCGCCGCGCACATTCGATTTGAACACGTTGCAACAGCTTCACGGATTGAGGACGGCTCGTTGTCAACAAATTGTTCTCGCCTCGGCGCCGTGCACGTTTGATGTAAACATTTGCAAGAGCTTCACGGAGAAAAGGAAGGGTGGCTTGTTTTCAAGAAGTGTTGGTTTCGCCCCAGCGCCGCACTCATTTTTTAAATGAAAAAGCGCAAGAGCTTCACCGATGGATGGCGGCTCGTTTTCAAAATGTTTGTTTTCGCTTCAGCACCGCGGCGCAAATTGATGTTGAAAACGTTGCAAAAGTTTCACAGATGTTTGGTGGCGCGTTGTCAACATGTGGCCTTCGCCTAAGCGCCGCGCGCATTCGATGTTAAAGCTTGCAAGAGCTTCGCGGGTGGAGGGCGGCTCGGTTTCAAAATGCGGTTCTCGCCGCAGCGCCGCGCGCGTTCGCTTTGAACATGTTGTAAGAGCTTCGCGGATGGAGGGCGGCTCGTTTTCCAAATCCAGTTTTTGCTTAGGCGCCGCGCGCATTCGTTACACAAAGTATGCACTGATTAAGAAGTACTTACATCGCTTCGTCATGTGGCGCAAATTGATGTTCCCGCGTGCCGACGGTGTCTCGCGGGCGGGAGTATGTATTGTCGCGGCTCCGCGGTGCTACATATATCGCTCCGTGCGGGGGGGGGCGCGATATTATGGGATGGGCCACCCCCTGGGGCGGCCGACGGAAGTCAATTCCACATTAAGGGTGGCAATAAGAATCACATAAAGCTGGGGCTGCTCGTAGAGGGAGGACGGAAGCTTCGGTTTCAAGCTCCTCTCGAAGAGTCCTAACGCAGCGCTACTGAATACTAAGAGCGCTGCTGGCAGAATTCCGGGGTATTTCTCCGATTGCCAAATATTTGGCGCCGCTATTGTACGATCACGCTTGCATTACTGCATAAATCCGCATCATTATCACTACTACCACGAGGCGGTCTACTACACATGTTTGTTAATGATCAATACACTTACAGCACTTACAGATCGGTTAAGGCATGACTCACGCCGCTTTGTCGGATGGCGGGAACTGATTATTGCCAGCGCTCTTGTGATTGTTCGCGGGCGGGAATCTGCATGTTCGCGGCTCTTGTGAGGAGCGCTCCTTCAGAACGACTGCGATCGACCGGGCGCGGGGGATATGCATTGCCGCAACAGCTGCCCGCATCAAGCTCGTCGGCGGCCATTGCGCGTGAAGTGGCAGACCAGGGGCCCTTTCGAGTCGAATGCGTCGGCGACGCGTAAGGGCGCGCGGGGAAGGACAGGGGCAAGCTCAGCGCGACCTCGTTGCTTTTGAAGCGCGGCGGCGCACGCGCGCTCTGCAAAAGCCGCCAGGGGGGCCAAACCGCAACCGAACATCTTTGCTTTCGCAGTACCGATTGAATCAGGTAGGTGAGCCGCGCCAACACATCTTCGCCGTAGCTGAACATCTGGGGGCCCTCCGTGAATTCGGCGTGGGGCCCGGAGCGGCGTTCTGGGGTTTGCGTCGTCGTGGCGCGCGTTGGCTGGCATGGCATAGCGCGGCATGCGACTGCAGGCTTGCGCGTGGGAGGGGATGGCGCGGACGCGCGACGGGGGGGCGGGGTGGGCGCGGCAGGGGACAGGGGCGCAAACAGCAGGTCGGCGTAGACGTTTCGTTTCACCGCTTGCCATGTCTAGTCTCGTTCGCGCCCCCCCCCCCCCCACCCCACCAACCCACTCCCGCGCGCGCGCGCGCGCGCACGCACGCGCGCGCGCGCCCCCCCCCCCCCCCCCCCCCCCACCCCCCCCACACCCCACTCCCCCACACGCACACACGCACACACACACACACACCACACACACACACACACACGCACGCACGCACGCACGCACGCACGCACGCAACGCAACTGCACGCACGCACGCACGCACGCACGCAACGCACGCACGCACGCACGCACGCACGCACGCACGCACGCACGCACGCACGCACGCGCACGCACGCACGCACGCACGCACGCACGCACGCACGCACGCACGCACGCACGCACGCACGCACGCACGCACGCACGCACGCACGCACGCACGCACGCACGCACGCACGCACGCACGCACGCACGCACGCACGCACGCACGCACGCACGCACGCACGCACGCACGCACGCACGCACGCACGCACGCACGCACGCACGCACGCACGCACGCACGCACGCACGCACGCACCACGCACGCAATCCACCCACCAACCGACCCACCCCGCGCCCCGCCCCCACGCGCCCCCCAAACCACCCGCCCCACACCCCGCGCACCCCACCCCACCCCGCCCCACCCTGGCCCCCACCACTTGCTTCGAACGTGATCGGGCAGCGCTGGTATACGGTTTTTTGCGATGCCATCGCGCCACCTGTGGACCCCCCGCCCCCCCCCCCCCCCCTTCCCCGACCCACCCTATCTGAGAGGAGGAAGAGGCATCGCAGGGCAGGTGGAGGAGTGGGAGGAGGAGGAGGAAGGAGAAGGAGGAGGAGAGAGGACGACGACGAGGGGGGGGGGGAGGAGGAGGAGGAGGAGGAGGAGGAGAAGGAGAAAGGAGGATGAGGAGGAGAGGAGGAGGAGGAGGAGGAGGAGGAGCGGCGGGGGAGGGGGGAGGATGGGGGGCGCAGGGGGGAGGAGATGGAAGGAGGAGGCGGAGGGGTGATCGAGAGGGCGAGGGGGGGGGGAGCGGCGGAGGGCGCGGCCGCCCCCGCCGCCCCACCAGCGACGCCATCAAGGCGGGCGCGCCCGCCGCGCGCAGCAGAGGTGGGGGGTCGCGAGGGTGGCGAGGAGGAGGGGGAGCTAATGGGAAAGGAGGGGGGAAGCAACGGCGGAGGAGGAGGCGACCCCCAGGGGGATCCCCAGTGGGGCATGAATGGATATCTCTCGGGCGGGCCCCGTGGCAATAATCTAGCATCGTCAGCGTTCGTGGCCTCGCACGGGCCTCAGTGGGTTCCGCGGGGCCCCGCGCGCCTTCGCTTGTTCTTGGAGGTCTTTGAGTCCAGAAGGGGGTCATATCAGCGCTTTGCTGCCAGCGGCTTATGTGCTTCCCTCCCCCCCCCTCCCCCCCTTCTTCATGGGCCCCCATGTGCTCGCGTGACATCGTCGAATGATTGTCGGGTTCTTATCCGGGGCGCTCGCAGTGGGCCCTTGTTGCAAGCCTTTTGTGTGAAATCGCGCCCCCTACACCCCCTTCTGTTTTCCAGTCGGTATCTTTCACGTGCCACTCTGGCCATCCCATTGCTAGCCGCACCACGCAATTGATGTTTACGCAAGCAATGCTTGCATCTTGCCACGTTGCATTATAGTGCGGACAAACGAACTGACAGTAGGCCGGTTGGCGCTCGCTGAGCGACCGCAGAGTTCGTTCTCTCGGCAGGCAGCGCGGCGCCCGCGGCGCCGCCGTGGACGGGGTGGCGCTCGGTATTGGGGGGTGCTGCGTCGGAGGCTGCCTACGCTTGCCAGCTTATCCCCGCGCGGGCCTTCGTCGACAAGGTGATCAAGGATAATGCCATAACTGATTTCGATGCCATCGTGAGCCAGCGCAGCAAAACAAAGCAGCGGGCCACGCGGCACGGACGCAGCCGACATCGCCCCGCAAGAGATCAATTTGGAGAGCGGGTGGTCACCGGCCGCTATGGCCGACTTGCACGCGCTTCGGTTTTTCGGCAACGTAGCTTGCACGGACTCCCAGGACAAGCTCCCCCGCGCCATTCGAATCCAGGGCCGCAAGATCAGCGGCAACAAGGAGAAAGTGATCAGTTGCTTGCGCATGAGTATGCGCGTCAGTGCTGGCTGGGTCTTGGGCCAAGACTGGGCTGGGCCCGCTTGCCCTCGGCTACCTGGGCCAAGACTGGCCAGGGCCGCTTGCCTTCGGCGCCTCCCAAGGGCGCGGAGGACTGCGCCCTCTCAGATGCCGTTCGCAAGGCTTTGCGATCTCATGTAGACGAGCCCAGGGGCTTCAATTGCACGCTCGACAACCAGGATGCCATCATTCGGCTCTTCGCGAAACTGGGCATCACGGCAGGGTGCGACGAAGTCTTGGGCAGCGCCCAGGCCTTCTCGAGCCACTTCGACACCCTGGGCGACGCTAGCAAGCAGGACTCAGATCATGTGGAACTGGTTGCTCTTACCGATTTTATTCGCGCGCGCCCTTTGCGAGGCGACCGAGCACGCGTTTGATTTCTTCGAAAATTTATCAGCGGGCATCGACAGCGTCTACACTTGCGAAACTTCTGCCGCTGACGCGACTTGCGACGCTGCCCGCGACGCGGATCCGTTCGCGGCGTTGGGGAAGGTTGCATGGGCCACCCTGCTCTTCGACATCCCGTCCCCCGCCAGGGCCGCGACTGAGGGGGCGCAGAACCCTTGCCGCGTCGCCGTCGAGGCAAATGGCGCCAGGGCCCAGTGCGCAGCGAAGCCGATCGAGAGCGGCATCGCGCTATGGAACCAGTTCTGGCAAAAGGGCCACCACGCGCTTGCCGAACTTGCCGACGGACGGGGCTGACTATTCCCCTGCATTCCACTTCCAGAGCTTCACCCAGTTCGCGTGCACAATGCCAGTGAGCAGCCCAATTGATCGAATCGTTCGCGATGCGGCCTCTTCGGGCGGATGTTCAGCGGCGACGCTGAAGTTCTTGCCGGTCGCTTCGGAGATCAAGGATTCGTTGCCCAGCCAGCCCCAGCAGCGCTTCGCATCCGCCAGCGCGTACAACTCGATCATGCACGCGTCCGCGTCTTGCCTCTCAAGGAAGATGGGCGGTTGCACGCGGGCGACTGCAGCGGCGACAGCCTCCGGCGACTTGAGCGAGCCAGTCGCTAGCAGGCCGCGCTGACTCGCGAGCGCGCGCCCCGCTTCCACGACCGGTTGGCGAAGTTGGGCGAGATGGATCGCGCCGGAGCGCTCGCCGCGAAATATGGGCCGCCGGGTGAAAACATTTCGGCATTGGTCGCTTCCTGGAGCTTCGGCGGCCCCGGCGATAAGAAGAGCTGGCTCGAGATTGCGCCCAAGGGCGCCGGGAGGGGGAACGAGATCAAGGGCGTCAAGACTTCCGTGCTTTCGATGGGTCCAGTAGAGAGGGCAGTGGATGATCTTCGGGCAAAACGCTCAGCCTTGAAGCGGGCGCCCGCTTAAGAGATGGCGAGCTGGGCGCTGCGATCGAGAATCTTTCCGTGGCGAGGGCGCTCAAGGAAGACGCTTCGCTGTTGATGTCCACGATGGCCCTCGCCAACTCTGTCCTCGCTGGCGTCGGGCCCCAGGCAGCGAAGAAGTACGTGGCCGACAGGATGATGAGTCAGTTGTCGGATTTTCCGCGGAAGCCCCAGGAGGCCATGGAATCCGACGCCGCGGCTGCGGCGGCGACTGGGGCCGCGGTCTCGACCAGCGCCGCCGCCGCCGCGAGCAGCTCGGCGAGCAGTTGCGGGGGCGCCGAGCCAGTGCCAGCGGTCGGTGCCGGCGCCACCAAGCCCCGGAAGAGCGCCTTCAAGGCGCCTCGTTTGCCCTCGACGGCAGCGCCCGCCCAGGCCAGGCCCGCCGCGCCATCACTTGCATGGCGGGGCGAGGGCCAGGAGAGATGGAGAGGAGATCGATGAGGGCCGGAGAAGGGGGTAGCGCCGGGGGCACCAGCGACGGCGACGACGAGAACAAGCACTAATCGCATTGGGGTTAGGTGTACACCAGTTGCGGCGAGCGCGACGGCATCGCCTGATGGATCACGACGCAGATGGACCATCGGCACCGTGGTCCACGATGACGGCGCGCACGAATGATGGAGACGGCGCGAACGGCGACGGCGGCGACGACGACGGCGGCGGGCGCGGGGTAGACTGGAACGCGCGCGCGACGACGACGCAGACGACGAGGGGCGAGGAAGGGCGCGTCAAGACGGATAGTTGGGGCAAGTCGGCGTCGGGGAGGGTTGGGGTTGTTTTTTTTTTGGGGGGGGGGGGCAGCTGCAGCTCGCGCGGGCAGGGCGGGGGCGACGGCGCGACGACAGCGACGATCACGACGACAACGACGATCACGGCGTGCCCGTCCGCCACGGCCATTCCTGGGCGCCGAGGCTCGGGCGGCATGCAGCCGATTTTTCCCCGGCCGAATGCGCCCCCCCCCTGCTGTGCGTTCTCCTCGTCGTCTTTTCAGTGCACTCCTCCTTGCCCTCCGAGCCCCCGCCCTCGCCCTCGCCATCTTCTTTCCCCTCTCGTACTTTTTGAATCCCCCTCCTGCTCCAATCGTCGCCCTGCGCCATCTCATGTTCTGCTTTCTCCTCGGCAGCCGGCTGCCCCGGGGTCCGCGCGGGGGCGCGGTCGACGGCCGACTGCCCTTGCGTCAGAAAGCAGACAAACAACCCAAAGGCAACAACAGTTGTTACGACCACCCATCGCGGCTCGTCGATTGCATCCATCGTTGGGGCCCCTGTCTTTCATCAGTCGATCCCTCGTCCTTCTCAGTTTCCTTCGCCCCCATATTTCTTCATCCTTCGGCCCCCCTCCTCTCCTCTCCCTCGCTGTTCAGCTTTCCCTCTCATCCTCCTGCGCCCTTCGCCCCCTCTCCCCTGCCAAGTTGGCCCATCCGAGGCTTATCGTTTGGGCGTCGCGCGACGCGTTGCCTTTGTGCCCGCTGCACCAACCGGCCAAAATAACCATCGGATGCGCTAGTTCTGCGCGGCGACGCATCAGGCAGCCTGCGTGGCAACGCCCATGGCCGTTCAATTCTTGCGAAGCCATGCGCCTCTCAACGCGGCTCCGCGGCGCCATCGATATCGCCCCGCGCGGGGCGGGCGCGATACCTTAGACAAGGCGCGGGGTGGGCGCGACGCCTCCGGGCGGGGCGGGGCCCTGCGCGGGGCGGGGCGAAAGTGCATGTTTCATTACAGGTGACAATTGGAATCGCACAGGGCGGGGGGGGGCGGGCAGAAAGAGAGGAAGCGATGGACTCGACCGCCCTGTCGAAGTATGACATCTAGCGTTGCGAACTATGATGCCGGAGGAAAACCCGAATCATAATCGCGTTAGGGCTGTGGGGCTATGGGTTTTTCTGAATATAGGGCTGCAGGGCTATAGGGCCACCTGAGGGCTATGTTCATGCTATTGGGCTATAAGGCTATAAGGCTATAGGCCGATAGGCTTATCGGGCTACCGGGTGCCCGGGCATCTGGGCGCCCAGGCGCGTCGCCGAAATCGGCGCCGCATTCCGCTTAACCATGCGAATCCGGGGAAAGCTCTGATTGGGCACCGGGGAAAACCCCAATCATAATCTCTCTAGGGTAATAGGGATATGAGGCTATGGGGCTACATGGGTATAGGGCTATAGAGCTATTGAAGCCATTGAGGCTATAGGGCCAGTGGGCTATTGGGCTGTTAGGCTATAGGGCAATGTGGCTATAGCGCTATAGGATTATATGGCCATTCGGCTACCGGGCACCCGGGCGCCTGGGCACTTGGGCACACGGGCACCTGGGCACACGGGCACCCAAGCGCCCGGGCACCCAGGCTTTTGGGCACGCGGGCACTTGGGCACCCGGGATCCCGGGCGCGTCGCCGAAATCGGCGCCGCACCTCACCTAACCATGCGAAGTTGTTAAGGCCCTCACAGAGGCGAGCTCTGGTTCTGGAATATGTGTTATCATGTTCACGATTAGCTACTACCATGTATGACTGCCGCAGAACTAAGTATTATTATCGCTATTCCTACCATCTTTATTTCGAGAGCCATTGAGACAATCTATGCTATCTGCAACTTCTTTTTGATTTACATCACGAGTCAGTTATCCCCATCCGTACTATTTCGACTATCGTTGCTGCTGTTGCTGCTGCGTGCCGCTGGCCGTTGCTACTATTTGGTAGTGCTAGTTCTGCGGAGTACGACTAGCACGATTGAAACCGAGCCGCCCACATCGCGAAACCCGTGCAGTTTGTTTGAAAACCAATGCGCGCGGCGATGAGGCGAGAGCTATATTTTGAAATCGAGCCGCTTTCAGTCCGTGAAACTCGTGCACATTTAAGAGAGCCAATGCGCGCGGCGCTGAGGCGTCAGTTGGCTGTTGGAACCGAGCCGCCCTCAATCCGCGAAGCTCGCGTACATTTTTAAGAACAGATTGCGCACGGCTTTGAGGCGAGAGCTAGATTTTGAAATCCAGTCCGTGAAACTCGTGCACATTTAAGAACACATTCGCTCGGCGTGGAGACGTGAGCTAGATGCTGAATCGAGCTGCCCTCGATCCATGAAACTCGCGCGCCCTTTTAAGAACAGAATGCGCGCGGCTCTGCGACGAGAGCTAGATGTTGAAACATGACGCTCTACAAATGATCGCTCAATCTAGCACACCGGGCTGCAGAGTGAGATGCACGTTTTGGTGGTAGCGACAGAGTGCGACTAGTTTTCCGGCCATGCGTCGAGGAAGATACTGATATCCGGCCTCGCAAGGCTCTTGTCACATGCTTCCAGCGTTGCTGAATCGGTTCGCGTGAAAAAAGCTTTGTAGCTTCTCCAAATCTCGAGTCCGTAGGCAGAACGCGCGCAAACCACGCGCTGCAGGGTGCGAGTCGCTTTTCAGTCACAGCTCGAGTATAGGACCGATATCAGGCTTTTTGAGGCTCAGCCTGGCGATGGGCAGCGGCGCGGCAGGCCACGGCGAGAAAGGGCAGGGTCGCGCCGAGCGGGGGAGCGGCGGGTTCAAGCGCAAGCGGGGCGACAGCCGACGCCGCGGCGTGCTTGGCCACCGACGAAACGAGGAGGCACGAAGGAAACGACACCCAAAACACAGCGGGCGCCGAGGCCCAAGGGAGGCGAGTGCCGGGCCCAGGCGAGCCAAAGGCACAGGCGTTGAAAAGGGCGGCGGCAAGCGGCGGCGAACGCCAATCGGGGGCGGGGAACGCGAGAAGGCCGCGCCCAGTGGGGGAGCGGCGGGCCAGGTGGGGCGAACAAGGTGGGCCCCGAGGCAACGGGCCGTCTGGGCAGAAACCGACAGCGGCGAGGTGCCACGGGGACAGCAACGGCCGGACACTGGTAGCCGGCGCTGGGGAGGTGGCGAGGAAAACTAGCAGATGGGGGGGACACAGGCAAAGTAGTGAGTGTCGCCCGGTTGGTCAAACACGGCAAGGGCCAGCGGGGTGCCACGGGCAGCGCCTGGACAACGCCTGTAGAGGGCCGGCGCCCCAGGCGGCGGGGGGCGGCGGCGGGGCAGGGCACCCCAAGGCAGGCAGCGAAGGGCGGTCCGGAGGTCGCGAGCACGCGGCAGCACTAGCCCGCTGTGACACGGCCATTCAGGTAGGGCAGCGGCGGCGGGCACCGGCCGAGCGCCGCCAGCTGGCGCCGCCCCGCCCGCGGGCGCGAGAGTGCCACGCACACGTGCACACGCGCACACACACGCACACACGCGCACACATACGCGCACGCAACAGACATCCACACACCAACGACTACGCAGTTCCGCATGCCGCACCCGCCTGCTCAACGCCCCCCCCCCCGCGCCCCCCCGGCTCCCCCCCGCGCCCCCCGCCGCCCCCGCCGGCGCTCCGGAGAAGGGAGGCACCGCCCCATTCAGGGGCCGGCCCTCCCTCCACTCCAGCCATTCCGCCCTCGCGGGGCTCCAGTGACAAGGGGGGGGGGGGCGCGCGGACGGCGCCACCGCCGCGGGCGCGCGCGCGCACGCACACATACACACATAAGAACACACACACACACGCACAGACACACACACACACGCGCACACACACACGCACACACGCACACACGCACGCACGCACGCACGCTCGCTCGCTACGGCACGCACACGCACACGCACACGCACACGCACACGCGCACGCACACGCACACGCACACACACACACGCACACACACACAAACAAAAAAAAAAAAACCTGGCGACGTACCCAACCCCTGCGCAAAAGCGGGGCGCCAATAGTTTAGGATACTTTATAAGGGGGCGATGGCGGAGCGAGGGTTACATATGTCTGCAGACGGAATTCGGGAGACTCGCAGGACACTGGCTACAGGAAAAGGGCTTGATAAAGCTGATGCTTTACAATTCCTGAGCACTCCTAGCCACTTCGAAAACGGGGATCACAGCAGGCCTCGAAAGTGGCGACAGGTTCACAGATCGCAGCCCCCCAGGGATGGCGAGGTCTCATTTGAATCTGCCCGTGGCCCTCACTGTGCTGGGCCCCCCAGCAGGCTTCGAAAATGGCGGCAGTTTCGCAGATCGCAGCCCCCCAGGGATGGCGAGGTCTAATTTGAATCCGCGCGTGGCCCTCACTGTGCTGGGCCCCCCAGCAGGCCTCGAAAATGGCGACAGTTTCGCAGATCGCAGCCCCCCAGGGATGGCGAGGTCTAATTTGAATCTGCGCGTGGCCCTCACTGTGCTGGGCCCCCCAGCAGGCCTCGAAAATGGCGACAGTTTCGCAGATCGCAGCCCCCCAGGGATGGCGAGGTCTAATTTGAATCCGCGCGTGGCCCTCACTGTGCTGGGCCCCCCAGCAGGCCTCGAAAATGGCGACAGTTTCGCAGATCGCAGCCCCCCAGGGATGGCGAGGTCTAATTTGAATCCGCGCGTGGCCCTCACTGTGCTGGGCCCCCCAGCAGGCCTCGAAAATGGCGACAGTTTCGCAGATCGCAGCCCCCCAGGGATGGCGAGGTCTAATTTGAATCCGCGCGTGGCCCTCACTGTGCTGGGCCCCCCAGCAGGCCTCGAAAATGGCGACAGTTTCGCAGATCGCAGCCCCCCAGGGATGGCGAGGTCTAATTTGAATCCGCGCGTGGCCCTCACTGTGCTGGGCCCCCCAGCAGGCCTCGAAAGTGGCGACAGTTTCGCAGATCGCAGCCCCCCAGGGATGGCGAGGTCTAATTTGGGTCCGCCCGTGGCCCTCACTGTGCTGGGCCCCCCAGCAGCTCGAAACTGGCGACAGTTTCGCAGAGCACCCCCCCAGGGACGGCGAGGTCAAATTTGGGTCCGCCCGTGGCCCTCACTGTGCTGGGCCCCCCAGCAGGCCTCGAAAATGGCGACAGTTTCGCAGATCGCAGCCCCCCAGGGATGGCGAGGTCTAATTTGGGTCCGCCCGTGGCCCTCACTGTGCTGGGCCCCCCAGCAGGCCTCGAAAGTGGCGACAGTTTCACAGATCGCAGCCCCCCGCGGGCAAGACAGGAAGAGGCGGGAGGCGGGAGAAGGGACGCGACCACACTGCTCTATTCAAAACGAATACCCAACCAAGGAGGGTTGGGAACAAACAAACAAACAAACAAACAAACAAACACACACACACACACTCACATATGCGCGGAGGCGCACTCAGAAGCCACGCGAACATCCACAGACGCCCACGCACACTCGATGGCGCACTCATGCACCCCCTCCCCGCGTGCTCAGCGCCCTCCCCCCCCTACCCCATCGCCGCCCCCGCCGGCGCTCCGGAGGGGGGAGGCACCGCCCTATTCAGGGTCCAGCTTTCCCTCCATTCCATCCACTCCGCCCTCGCGGAGCGCCAGAAGCACGGAGGGGGAGGGAGGAGAGGCGCGCGGACGGCGCGCAAGAGGGCTCGCGCGCGCCCACCCCCATGCCCAGGCCAGGCGGCCGGGGTCGGCCGGGGCTCCTTGGTCACAAGCAGCCAGAGCATGGCCCATCATCCGCGGCCACGAGGCCAAAGCTGAAAGGGGATCTTCCCTGAGGACCTCCTTGGCCTGGCCCATGGGCATTCCCCTTCTCCCATCGCACTGTACAGTCAACCCGCATCGCAAGGATGGGCAACCTTCCCAAGGGTACCATTGCATCTTTGCCTCCTCGGTCCATCCTTGGCCACTTTCGTTAGCCGCGCCACGCTCGAAAAGCTTCGAAATGGGCGTCCACGGCTTTTGCGTCCTTATCGCGCATCACTTCGAAACAGCTTGATTGTATGAGGCCCAACAGCAGCAACTGGTGCCCCACGCCATCGGCAAAGGGACGGGGTCTGAACCGAGCGAGGCCAAGTCCCCAGCGGGGAGGCCGCAAGCCCCAGCCGGCAGGAGCACTCCAAACAGACCGGGCTCGAGTGCACCAGCGCGCTGGCCCTCACAGATCGGCGGCGAGCGAGGGGGGGGACATGGGAATGAGAAGGCCTTCTCAGAAAGCGGCGGGACTTCTCATAAGCTCTCGCGCCTTCTGAGAAGTTGGTTCTGCTTTCGGGGAAGGCTTGTAACACTTGTCAGAAGGCCGGGGGACTTCTGAACCTTCTGAGAAGGCCTTCTCCTTCTCACTTCTCCCCCTCGCTCGCCGCCGAACATGGGCCCTCGGACACGGCCCCGAGCAGACCAACGGCGGAGCAAACCATCGACGTCATATCTACAGGGGCTGGGCCCAAAAGGTGCAAGCCAATAAGCACAAGACTAACCCCTAGGGGGGCGCGGCGTCACCGAGGCACCAGCGAACGCAACGCGTAATTATCCATCGCCGCGGGCGACCGCCAACGCACGAATCGCACCCCACCAGAACTGCCGAGGAGGCCAGCAAACAGCCAAGAACGAGGCAAAGCCAGCGGGCCGCATGGGCCCACCAGGGAGCCAGCGCGCCAACCCCTGACCCCGCTCAGGAAAACGTCCGCGCCGGCCATCGCCGTGACGCAGGCGATCTCCGACGGAGAATGCGCCGAACTCGCCACTGAAACCCTCAGTTCGCACGGTAGCAGCAGCAGTTTCGAGGTCGAGCAGCAGTTTGATCCCACGACGCGCACTCGGCCAACCCGTTCAGGAGCGTGCGGTTCCGATCTCGGGGGCCCGTCGCCGCTCTATCGGCGATGTATCGCTGATTCCAGCTCGATGGTTCCCCCCCTGCACTGGCCCTGGCTGATGTTCCCTGCTCACTCTAGCCCATTTCGCTCGTTGCGGAAATTGTGCACGGCCCGTACATGGAACGGGTGCCTGGCCTTCACGTCAAAATTGAATGGCCCATACCTCCAGGCGTCGCGGCAAGATCACGGCGGCCGTTTTTGTTCGATGTCAGCGTCCTTCGGTTTTGTCGGGCATGGGCGATCAAACAACAGTTGGCGACTGTACGCGGAAAGGGGGTCCAGGATCTATAGATCCAGGGGTCGCGTAGTGAAACAAGCACGACGTCGGAGGTACGGGCTTGTTGGGGCCGCCTCTGTCCCGGCAGTTTTGGCGCTACTCGTCGCCAAGAAGATGGCCTCTATAAATCTTCGGGTAGCCTGGGATAGCCCCTGAGTTCCCCGGATGGCTTCGAGCTTGGCGCGAGGAGCCAGGCAAGGGGCAGAGAAGGCCCCCAACACATTCGACAGAATGGCCTGCCCCTGCACGCTTGCCCGTTTCATCCGGCGCGACCATTGGCGCCATGGTTAGTGTAGCCCTCGCATCCAGGCGCCGCGAACAAAAAGCCACGACGGGCGAAGTTGCTCCGACTCTGGTGCCTGGGACATTCACGGACCGTTCGGCTCTCAAAATTCGGAAGAACGAGTTCGGTCGGGAGTTCACGGTTGTGATTATGTTTCGCGTTGTCGTGGTGTTTTGGTGGCGTCGGATGATGGGGAAGGAGAAGCGAAATGCCCACCAAGTTTCCACGTAATTTACGGCGAGGAGCGTGTTGTTGTGTCGCGAGTCGCAGCGGTGGGCGCTTGCGTGTCACTCTGCTTCGTGAGACCCGAGCATGTTCTTCGGGTGGAGGGCTGAAATTTGAAATGCTGTTTCGATGAATGTTCGAGGCTTGAATCTGCGAAAGGTGAAGCACAAGACGGATTGATTCTCGAGGTGCAAAAGCCCATGTGGATCTCACCCTGGGCCCTCCACCCTGAGAAAATGCTCAGGAGACGGGAGTTTGAGAAAAGCTCGGGACGTTGATGCCTGTGGATTGGGACGTGCTTGGCGCGTCGTGCCGAGGCGTGGTGGGCCAGAGCCTGCGACGCGACACGCCAAGCAAACGCTCCTGGCCGTACCTGGGCGCAGATCTGATCGGTTGAGCATCGTTCAACCGATCCCCATCCCCAGCGGCGTGGCCTGGGTCCCACTGGCCAATTTAGCCCCCGAGGTAGGGGAAATGGGCCGTTCCCTTCGGGCTTCGAGGGGTGTATCCCCAACTGGGGGTAATTTGGCGGGGGCCTCGAAGGGGATGAGGATGGGGATAGGGATTGGTTAAACGATACCGAGCGGTGGATGTCGGCTCCCATATTGATCAAAAGGCTGCACCCGCCAGGATCTGGGTCCGAACTTGCTTGTGGAGTCCTGCTGCCTCGGTGTTGCCAGAGATTACCTTGGCCAAAGGCGGCCCCAGCTTTTCCAGAGGTGCCCAGGTGGCCGTCAGAGCAACACGCACGAGGCCCAGGGCCCTGGCGGATCCGAAACGGCGCGACAAGCTTGCGGCACCTTGAGGCAGGGCGGCCTCCTCGGGTTATATGTTGTTTCCATCGTACCCAACGACCACATCCCAGAACTAATTTCGAGCACCCAGAAAGATATCGAAACGGTGTCGATCGAGTCTCGCCTCCCAGGGCCCGACAGGTGAGAAGCCTCAGGTTTCGATGTTTTGGCTTGGTGCTCTAAATTCGCTCTGGTGATCCAGGCTAAAGTGGGCTGGAACATTATAATCCTGGGGATGTCCGATCGATGGTGGTGGGTCGGTTCCCTTCTCCACGACAGCTGCACGGGCGCAGAAGGTGGGACTTTCCCTTCCACGGTGCGGCGACTAGCGCCGGCTTCTGTGCCTGTCGATCCCATTGACTGCTGCTGCTGCACCTCCTGCTACTCTGCATCTTCTGTGTGCCATGCCTGTCCTCGATCGGACGGACGACTCCGCTGGTTTCGACTCCGCTGCAGGGCGCTTTCCGCGATGTTGGCGCCAGCCCCAGACGCCCTCGAGTCATGAAAAAATCGCGACGGAAGGTGTTCCGCCATTTTCGGCCTCTGGGTGCCCTCACAGGGTTTCTGGACCGTCCAAAAATTGTTCAGGATGAGAAGCCAGCCCCAGGGAATGGGTCGAAACCTCTGGTGGTCGAGGTTATGAAACAATCACGACGTCGGTGTCTGGGGCAGGCGCCGGCAAAACCAGCTACGTGAGCTCATTGGCCACCCCCCCTCTGCTATCCCCCCCTTTCGTCCGACCCAACTGTCCTGCGAGTCGCGGCCACCCCTCTACACCCGACGCGAACTCGGCGTGGATCCGACATGGCTTCGACGCGGGTTCGGCACGGACCGCAAAGGTCACCCGCGGGGGCGCGAAGATAGTTAATCGCGCTTCGCGGGTCGCGGCCAGGGCCAGAGCGGTTGCCCTTCTCCGAAGGGGCGGACCGATGGCGCGAGAGCGCGAAGATAGACTACCGCGCATCGCGAGGCGCGATGCGCGAAGTTGGGTGAGCGACCGAAGAGAACGGGGCCGATTGCGCCGACATTCGCGCGCGAGTTGCCCGCAGATAGTTGCGCGTAAGCGCCATCGTTTCCAATGAATAGTGCCACGCTGGCGCCTGCGTAAGCCACCGCGCAGGGTAGGTCATCCTGCGTCGTAAGTCCCATTACTTTGTTCGTCGCTTTTGTGATCTACAGTCGGACCGAGGCATAAGGCCGAGGCCGGTTCGGGGAGGGCACCCTAGTGTTGTTCGTTCTTGCTGGGTGCTTTTATACACCCTGGGGAAGGTACCCTGGGATGCTCTGTGCGTTTTGGCCAGCGGAGTGTCTCATGTCTTGGCCACGCGCAGAGGGGGTTAGGGGGAGGGGGGAAGGCTTCTGAGAAACACCGTGTTTTTTTAGAAGGCGCGGGCCTTGTCCGTCGGAGGTTGGGGGGTGTGAACGGAAGTGACCCCAACCGGGAAATCGGTTTCGGTTTCGGTTCGTGTCGTGCGTGCGGGCGAGGCGAAGTTGCGCGAGTTCTTGCATTGGTAGGGGCCATCTAGTGCCAAAAGGGCCGCCTTCCCCCGTCGGCCGGCGGTGGCTCCCGGGTTGTCCCGGCGTTTGTCCGGGCGGTTGTCCGGATAGTTGTTCCGATGATTGTCCCAATGGTTGTCTTGATGGTCGTCCCGATGGGTGTCCCGATGGTTGTCCCGACGGGTGTCTAGATGGGTGTCTAGATGGTTGTCCCGATGGTTGTCCTGATGGTTGCCCCGATTGTTGTGTCGATCGTTTTCCCAATGGTTGTCCCGATTGTTGTCCTGATGGTTGTCCCGATGGTTGTCCCGATGTTTGCCCCGATGGTTGTCTCGATGGTTGTGTCGACCGCTGTCCTGATGGTTGTCCCGATGGTTGTCCTGATGGTTGTCCCGATGGTTGCCCCGACGGTTGTCCCGATGGTTGCCCCGATGGTTGTTTCGATCGTTGTCCCGATGGTTGTCCCGATGGTTGTCCTGATGGTTGTCCTGATGGTCGATACGATGGTTGTCCCAATGGTTGTCTTGATGGTTGTCCCGGCGGTTGTCCCGATTGTTGTGCTGAAAGGTTGTCTTCATGGTTGTCCTGATGGTTGTCTCGACGGTTGTCCGGATGGTTGTCCTGAGTGTGGCTTAACCCGGATCTGGTTCGTAGATAGATAGAGAGTGTAGTACACACATATATATATATATAGGTTGATAGAAATATATATATATATATATATATATATATGATATACAGATATTGATATGTTGATATATGCATTGGTAGTGTGATAGATATATGACGTATTGATATATTTTTATTGGGCTGGCCTCCGGCCAGTGCCGCCGATCCGAGGGGGGTGAGACTTGGCGACGTCTTGGAGGTTTCTGGAACTGTCTTCGGGGCATCTTGGGCGGTTCGAGCGATGTTTCGGCGATTCGGGACCCTCTTGCATTGTCTAGGGGGCCTCTCTTGGCTTCCTCTTGGGCTGTCTTGGGCGGTCGGGGCTCTGGAAGTGGAGTTTTCTATACCCCCCTGTCCCCGGGTACCGAAAAACGTCGGAAAAGACGTCGGAAATAATGTACCCCCCCCCTGCAGAGCGAAGCTTGAGCGAGCTCAAGTCCACGCTCTCAGAAACTCACACGCCGGATCGGCGGATTTTGATAGAACGATAGAAATATGTGTATTGGATATAGTGGTAGAGCTATGTATTGATAGCTATCATACTCATAGGCAGACAGACTTATATACATACACACAATATGCTTGACATATGGCTACATCGATAGATTCTCTCGACAATCGTAAAGTTGAAGACACCACAAGAGAACCCAGAGCCATCGCAAATCGACCGCCTCCCCTTCCCCCCCAACCTCCTTATTACCCGCAGGGTGGTCCTACCGATAAGTATGAGGCTGGTGCCTTCTAAGAGGTAGCCTCTTCTAAGAAGTTTCCCCCCTCACGCTACCCCTTTGTGCGCGCCACCAAATGTTCTTGAAGGATGTTGTTCTGGCATCGGTCCCCTGTCTTCAGCCCCCCCAGCACGCGCGCGGCCGCTCTCCACTGCCCGCGGCCGCGCGCGCCCTCTCGAGGACAGGTTTTCTGCTCCTGGCGCAGGCGCCGCCAAAAAAAGAGCACGGCACGTGCGGCCTCCACTTGCCCGCCTCCTCGCTCCTCGACCTCAGCGATCCGCAGTCTCCTCCACCTTCAATCTCCTCGACCCTCGATCTCCTCCTCGATCCTGGATCCTCGACCCTCGATCTTCGATCCTTCTCCCCACCCCTTGCGGGAGGCACGAGGGGGGGGCAGGGCAAGTAGGGGGAGGAGCATGTGTTTTGCAGGGCCGCCTGCGATCCGATGCGGTGCGATTCGGTTCGCCGGCTGCGGCCGTGATTCCGGTTCGATCCGAGTCGATTCGATTCAACGGCATCGGCCGGGGCAAGCTGGAATAAGGCGCAGCGATCCGATCTCGGATCGGATCAATTCGTTGGCGATTCCAGATGCCAGATGTGACCGATCCGATCCGATTTCGCGATTCGATCCAGTACCAGCGTGCCTTATGACCAATATACAGGTTCATCGATGTTTTTTGTATGCTTCACGGCAACACTATACTTCAAGCAAGACAAGAGCAACCAAAAAAGAAGCACAGCGAGACCCCATCATCCCTGTGAGCCAGCCTGGCAGCAGCAGGAAGGAGGAGGAGGAGGGCGGAGAAGAACAAGGAGGAGTTGTTGTTGTTCATTCCTTTGGCTGCATGCCCCCAGTCAAGTGGATCAGGGTGACAAGATGAATCCGGCATGCTTTTTTTTTCTCTCGTTCTCTATCTTGTTCTATCGTGGATGTTGCTTGTGACTGTTCTTTGTATTACTTCTGGACGTAACGCATGTTACCCCCTCCGACCCCCTCCCCCCCGCGTAACGCTAACGCCAGGAAACCGACTACACGCGTGAACGTGTACAGTTCCCCATAGAGGAGCTGGACGAGCAGCAGCAGCAGCAGCAGGAGCAACAGCAGGAGGTGGAGGAGGAAGAGGAGGAAGAGGAGGAGGGAGGAGGAGGAGGAGGAGGAGGAAGAGGAGGAGGAGGAGGAAGAGGAAGGGGTGAAGGAGGGGGAGGGAGGAGGAGGAGGACTAGGACGACGACGACCGACGTGGCCCAGAGGCCCCGAGAGGTGCACGCAGACACGAGGGCCTTTTGGGGCACACGGTTGTTGCCGCTGTTGCGCTGTGGTGCACGCAGGCAACGGGGTGCACGCGGGGCGAGTTCACACAAATAAAGTGGTGCATTCAGACACGGTGATGTACACGAGCGTTGCGGTGCGCTAAATTCCTTTTCGTGTTACTACGAGTACTACTCGGTCAGGGGTTGTTCGGTAGCCCCTGTGTTTTCGCATAGTGACGAAGAGCGTTTTTCAAAAGCTCCGTCGCGCACAGCGCACGCATCTGTCCACTATGGCTTCGCACGCGTCAATACCCACGCGGCCGCCAGCGATCGCAGGATTCACACGCGAACTTGCTGCCCCCCAAAAGGAAGCACTAACATATGTCACAATGTGAGCGTGCCCATCCGAAGGAGGAAAGAGCAGACAGGGCATGCTACCAATATGACAAAAGATGTCTTGTGGCATGACACAAGATGGCACAACCAAAGAAACCCAACTAATAAACTAACCAACAAGTTTCTTCCCGCATATTTACCTATGTAATGTTCCGCGCTATTCGACCCAGCTCCTCTTGGGGCCTCCAAATGGCACAGTACAGCATCCACAATTGCACGATACATCACAAGTAAAGAACACAACTAAAACAAACATCAACAACAATTTACCCGCATGCTCACCTATATATTTACACATTGTGTTGGACACAGCGCCGCGTGCTCGACCACAAGGTGGCATACAATATGGCGCGCGATTCCTAGAGTGAGCAATACAGGCAACGCAAAACCATGTCCTGAGCCATCAGATTCCCCTATGGATCCAAGCATGTTGCTGAGCCCAGCGCCGCATGCTCGAGCACAAGATAGCCCACAAGATGGCATGTTTACCGGCCTCCAGGTGCTTCCGAAAACCACTCCCCTACCAGAGCGGAAACGATTTCTTAGATTGGATTTCTACCGTTTTAATGAGCACAGTCGTGGGAACAGTACGGCAACGATTGTTCGGAAGCCGCACTGCAAGCACCCCGCGGGCACACAACCAGCACCCCGAGCACAACAGCGTACCGACACGCACGAACACGTGGAAGCACAGATGCTATTCTTGCGATGCGTCTGCATGCGTGTTAATGTGCTAATGGGACTCGTTTTGCAGGCTGACTTGCTGGAACATGTGCTCTTTCTCGTAAGTGGAGTCGACACATTCCCCCCGCGCAAGACTGCAAAACGAATCCCGCCAGCACCAGTATCACGCAGACGTGACGCACAAAACACGTAAGTAGCTTCACGTGTACATGCGTGGCAGTTCGTGTTTTTGCTCAGCGTGCTGGCGGTGTGCTCGTCGTCTGCCTGCGGCGAGGCGCGCGCCAGCGTGAATGTCCATAGGCAACGTCGTTGCAAAAACACGTATTCTGCAACGCGACGCGAGTATCCTAAATTCACGCAATTTAGTGTTTTCCCCAGCGTCGATCTCCAGATTCGCCACAAAAAACATGGTTTGACATTTTTGACATCGCTCCCCCCTTCGAAAGCACGAATTTATAAAACACGCGCCCCTCCCAGATTTGCTCTCGCTGGCCCCCAGCATCAACTTTCAGACTATGCCACACACACGGGTTGACGATTTTGACAGCGTTCCCCCTTTTAAAACACGAAGTCACAAAGCACGGGCCCCTCCCAGATTTGCTCTCGCTGGTCCTCAGCGCCAACCCCCAGAATATGCAAACAAATGCCATTTGAAAATGTTGACAGCGTTCCCCCTTTTTCTAAAAAGCACGAACTTACAAAGCACGCGCCACCCCCAGATGTCCATTCGCATCCCCATCATCATTTGTCCACCCACCCAGGCCTCCACAGAGCCAGCGCATGAGCTTGTCAAAACGTTTCTTGCTTCAGAGAGCACGGGTAAAATGTTGGCTGCCGTAATGCAACAACACACATTACGTCGACCCGGCGTGCCTTGATAAGTGGATTCGGGCGAGGCGTCGCCCCACATCACCAGGCATGTTCGAAGTGCGTCCCACCGTGGCGACGAGGATTGCCCCGAGGGCAACGACAACATACATGTCTGCCTGACAGTGACACGAATGCGCTCCTGGTTTCCAATTATTCTGGGTTATCAGCCCCACGAGCCCCAGACCGAGTAAGCTGCGAAATGCCTGCTTTTTTTGAACCCTCACATGGGTAAGTTGAATTGTTTGGATTGTGTTTTTCCCGCTTTGTCCCATGCGTTTGAATCCCCAAACCCCCGCGAGCGAGGAAGAGGATCAGAAGGAGGACCTCGCTCAGGATGAAAAGAGCAATCAGCGGCAAACAACAGACGCGCAACAACGCAGCAGACACGTAAAGCAAAGCGACGCAAAAAGCACGGGCTATCACACAACCCTTTAGCTACTAATACGACTACGACTACGACTACTACTACGACTTCTTCTTCTATCATGTTTATAACTACTACGACGACTACTACGACGACGACTACGACTACTATTACTGCGACTACGACTACGAGTACGACTACGACTACTACTACTACTACTAGTACTACTACTACTACTACTAGTACTACTACTACTACTACTACTACTACTACTACTGCTACTCCTACTACTACTACCACTGCTACTGCGACTACTACGTCCGCATTATTACTCCGACTACTACGACCTATCATCCTATTGCGACTGCGACAGCTATTACTACTATTACAGTTATTATTCCTACCACTACTACTGTTACTACTGCGACTGCGGCTACTGCGACTACTTTTGATACTACTATTACTACTACTTCTATTACGATCACAAGTACCACTACCACGACTGTTTCTATTTCTGCTCCTATTAGTACTACTACTGCTACTACTACTACTACTACTACTACTACTACTACTACTACTACTATGTTAGTTACTACTAGTACTACTACGACTACTACTGCTACAACTACTACCACCACTACTACTACTACTACTACTACTACTACTACTACTACTACTAGTACTACTACTACTACTACTACTACTACTACTACTACGATTGCTACTGCTACTTCTACTACTTCTACTACTCGAGCTTTGCGGTGCACTCCTACTACGAAAACTATTGTTACCACTACTAATGTTTTGATGATTACCAACCGTACGACTAGTGAAACTACTAGTGCTACTACTGCTACTAATACTGGTGCCACACATTTTTTTCCGATTAGCACTGTTACCACTCCTACTACCACTACTACTACTACTACTACTACTACTACTACTACTACTACTACTACTACTACGGCTACTACGGCTACTACTTGTATTACTAATGCGGCTACTTTTACTATTACTACTACGACAACTATCACTACTACGACTACTACTACTACTACTACTACTACGACTACTACTACTACTACTACTACTACTACGACTACTACTACTACTACCACTACTACTACTACTACTACTACTACTACTACTACTACTACTACTACTACGACTACTACTACTACTACTACTACTACTACTACTACTACTACTACTGCTGCTGCTACTACTACTACTACTACTACTACTACTACTCTACTACTTCTTCTTCTTCTTCTTCGACTACTACTACTACCACTGCTGTTTCGACTGCTACTTCTATTAGTCCGGCTGGCATTATTAGTACGACTTGGACCATTCGTACGCTTAGTACGACTAACACTAGAGTTTCGAGTACTAGTAGTTTTAATCGTATTCATATGACCACAAGTACGACTAATATTGTTCGTACTTGTGTACTCGTGATAATACTAGTGCTCGTCCCGGCGGCCGCCGTTACCGTTACCTCCCCTCTGTCCCCCCCGAACGTAATATGCGTTATCCCCCCCAGAGGAAAAGAGCAGTCGCCTTGGAGGTTGGAGGACGGGATGATGGAAAAAAGGAGTAGAAGGAGGGTGACGAAGGGCGAGGATGGACGAGCAGGCGGACGAGGAGATTGTGATGAGGGTTCCCCCTTCCCACACCCGCAGTAGAAACCATCCCCCCGGCGATGCCGAAGGGAGTGCGGGAGGGCAAGGAGGAGCAGAAACGGGAGGGGGATAACGAGGGGAAGGAGAGCAATACAGGAGGAGGATCCACGAGGAGGGACTGCGGAGAAGGAGAAGGAGGGTGAAGGCTGAGAGGGGGACGAGAGAGAGGGGCGTCCCTGCTCACCGCTTCCCTGGGAGCCGATCCCATGTGAGAGCACAGCGGAGGGAGGATGAGCAGCAGGAGCACGGGGGGAGGGGAAGGAGGAAAGGGGGGGGGAAATTGAGAAATTTTCAATCAAGCTGCCGAAATAATTCGGCCGCTCGCTTTGGGTTCGGAAGGGGCTGGCTGTTCCCTGGGTCATTCCGTGGTTATTCCTCTGGCCCTCTTCGTGCGCTCTTGGTGCCAAAAACGGGCTTCATTCTTTATCTAGCGTTCCTGATGGCAGCGCATTGACCATACATCGGGGAGAGGGGTGGCAGAGGAGGGGGAGGGCATCAGCTTTCGGAGGTCCGCGCAGGTTTCTTGGATCCGCGCTGGGCCACCCTCGGCCTCGTCGTCGGCGTCATTGGGAATTCTTGCTTGTCCTCTCCAACAATGGTCCCGGAGGCAGCACACGAGTTGATGCATGGAGTCGCATCTTGGCCTCCAGCGCCTTGAACACACCAGGGCGCAGGCGTTCCGCCCGCGCAGCGACCGGGCGAGGGGAAAATGCGCGGGGCAAGCCGGTGCGGTGAGAGGTCTGGTCGCCAGACCGACGCTTGAGGTCTCGGCTGGGCGTCGTTGAGCGCAGCAGGGGCCGCCTCCGGATGCGAGATGGTGCATCTGCACAAGTTTCGAGCCGTGCCAGGAGGGGGGCCGCCCCGCTCCGCCTCCGCTGACCCGCAGGCCGAAGCCAAGGGCTACCGCGCGTGCGCGCGGGAGTTCCAGGCCGTGCAGCAGCAGGAGGAAGAGTTGAGGCGAGACCACGACTTCTTTATCTCTCTGCCTCATTCCATGCCTCTCTACCTCTATTTCTCCCTCTCTCGCTGTGTCTGCCTCTCTCCCCGCGTCGTTCCCCTCCCGTCTCCCTTCCACGTCCCTCCCTCACTCGCTCCCCCATCCGGCCTCGCTCACCCCTCCCCATCAAGCTCATGCACCAGGCTACGAGTTGTGGTTATCCCCAGGCGAAGAGCGTCCCCCATTTGACAACGCCGATGTTGACCTAGGAGGACTGTCACATAACGGGCCGCTCGTAGACCTGGCAGATTGGTCAGCGATCCCCATCAAGCTCTGTCTGTCTGTCGGTATGTCTTTTGTGTTGTCCTCTCTCTCTCTCGCTCTCTCTCTCCCTCTACATCGCCCACTCTGTTTCCCGCTATCTGTCTGTATGTCTTTCTCTCGCTCGCTCTCTCCTTGTCCATTTCTCTCTGTACATCTGTATATATACACGCATTATCAAAGCTCGCTTAGCCTTTTGGGGAATTTCTTGGAATATGTTGGAGCACGCTTAGGAAGTCTTCGGTTTCTCCAGAGCACTCCAGAGGCCATCTTGGGTCGAACATCTTTGCAAGCTAGCAGTTCGGGTTATCACTCGGGCTGTCTGACGCTCATCTTGGGGTCTAGTGGAGCCGTCTGGGTGGCATGGTGGCGCCCTCTCGGGCCGTCATTGTCTCATCTCACGGGCCAGGGTTCCCGAGCGCCCTAGGACGCTCTCTGACACATCCCGTCTCCGCACATCCCCCTTCTTTCTCCAACCCTTGGGGGACGGTTTGCGGGGGGCACACATCGGATCCACGCAAACAGAAGAGCGGCCCTTTGCCAGAGGAAATTGGTGTGCGCGGCTTTCGAGGGACGCGGAGGGGCTCAAGCCCACTCACCCAGGCCGCCACAGTCGCATCCCGCGCATTGATCGGCAGGCTGCGCACCAAAGGTCCCTCCTGCCTGGGGTCCCGCCCGCGCGTGGCCGACGACACCTCCCGCGCCGGTGCCTCGTCCCTCGTTCCGCGATCCTCCTTGATCTTCGATCCTCGGTCTTCGATCCTCGATCCTCCTCGATCCTCGTTCCTGGATCCTCCTCGATCCTCCCCGATCCTCCTCGATCCTCGTTCCTCCTCCGCCCTCCCCTGCCGCGGCCCGTTCCCCCGCGGACCTGCACGGGTCGGCACCACGGCGCCGCAGCGCGCAGGTGTCCGCAGGGGGCGACGAACCGTCAGCGCCTCTCCGTCGGCGGTTTGCCATGATCGGGGGAATGTTATGTCGGGCCTGTCCCTCTACAGGGGGAAAATTCAAGAAAAGTCAAAAAATAGTCGGGGGACCATCTTGCGAGTTTTCTTTGACCATTTTGGAATATTGTTTGAGTCTTTTTATTTTCCGTCCAAAGTCCCCCTGTATGGGGCAGGCCCGACTTCAGGGAAACGTAAGACTCGAGGTCGCCGGAGCTCGGATTTGCCGGCGCGTTTTGACGAGCCCGTCCTTGATTTTGACGGTCCTTGATTTTGACGAGCCCGTCCTTCGTAGGATGGTTGCCGTGGGAGCTCGCGTCAGATTTCAGATTCGGTGTCGTCATTTTCCTGACGGCTCCCTTCGGGCCAACTCGAGCTCCCCGAACCCGAGTCTCACGTCTCCCCGACATGAGTGATCGCGAGGGCGTTCGGGCCAGCCGTTCCAACGTCACCTGCACCGTCGCCATCGCGACCTGCTGTCAGGAAGCGTCCCGCGACTTATTGCGCGTGTTTCCCGCAGTGCTTCCCCACCTCGGACTGGTCGCCGCTCGGGTTGGCATCCCGCTGCCGCGATAGGTGCCGCAGGTGATCCAGATCGCCCCCAAGTGATTTACTCGCAGAGAGATATAGCCCTGCTCACGCGGGTGCGGGATTGCGAGACGCTCGCCGACAAGGGCGCGGACGAAGGCGGTTGTCATCAAGACTTTCTGCGATTTTAGAGCCGATTTTTACCTGCGTTCCGCGCCGTGGGCGATAAGGTCTCCGACAGGAAGCAGGGCGACACGGAGGTTCTGTCACATGTCGAGCTTGCTGTTAAGCAGCCCCCGGTGGTAAGTCGTACGCAAATCTGGCAATCAGTGAGTGTTCAGGGATATTGCTTCGATAAGGGCCAGTATCGATCGGTGCAAGCTTTCTTTTGAAACCATCTTGGAGTCCCCTGGGGGGCCAGACGGCCGTTTGGCGCCCTTGAAGGGCCGTCGCGGAGGATCGCGGCCAATCGTTGTAACTTCTGCTTTTCGGGAACCCTCCGCGAAGCTGTGAGTCATCCGTAGCCTTCTTTGCATTGTCTTGCTTCTCTTGGGGCCTCTTGGGGGCAAGCTGAGCGCTTCTGAGGGTACACGGGGAACGAAGGGCGTGAACGGCATGCCCAACTGAGGATCCCCGATGCCGTGTCGATCCCCTTACTGCCCGACTCGATTGATTTGAATTCTCTCTTCTCGACTTTAGGCGATTCTGCTCAAATTGAGTGCCTCGTGGACTCGAATATACCCGATTGGCGCGAAATTGTATTCCCTGTTGCTCTACACCATTCGACTCTAGTCAAATATCGCTTGTTCTACTCTAGTCGAAGATGCTCGACTACAGTGCTCGACTATGTTGTATTCGATTTTACAATACTAAGTACGACCCTGCTTTACTACTCGAAGGTCGCCAATTTTGTTATGTGCCATGATATTATTTAATCGCTTCGCTCATTCTGCCGGCCCTCGAGCGCTCTATGGGGCCTCTTTGAAGCCTCTTGGGGGCCTCTTTGGGGCCTCCCAGGGGCCTTTCGGGGGCCTCTTGGGGGCCTCTTGGGGCTCCTTGGCGGCGTCTTGGGGCTCCCTTGGGCCTCTTGGAGGGCTCTTGGGGGCCTCTTGGGGCGGGGTAGTCGAGTGCACCCCCTTCGGAGGCCACGATCCTCGTGAGGGGTGTCGAAAAAAGACCCTCAGAACTATCTCTGGGTAGACTGGGTCGGGCTGCGGTCGAGATACTTTTCGCCGGGGGACCCCCAAGGCCGCCCCGCGCGCGCGAATTAGAAAAATTGTTAACCAGTTACCGGAGATCTTAGCACACCTCTGGCCCGTTGGGCCGGCGACTTATTCTATTTTGCACCACTGTACCCGACGCTACGCTGCATGTATATATCTTGCCTTCTCTATCCGACTCTACTTGGCTCGTTTCGATACGGTTCCATGATACTCAACGCTTGCACTATTCGAGTCGACGCTACTCTACCCGATCCTGCTTCCACATTAACCTACCCGACTATCGACCCGCTCATGCGCGCGTGCGCGCCGTGCACGCGGGGCAAGCTCGCCTTGCCACGGGCGGGGAGGAGGAGGGGGAAGGAGAAGGAACAGAGTGGACAAGGAGCTGAAGGGATGGACGGATGGACGGAGGCGGGGACGGTGCAGAGGAGGGCGGAGGAGCAGAACGACCGACCGACCGACGGCCAGAGCGTGCGGCGACGACCTACGAGCGACGATGACCCACGACAGCGACGACGGCCCGCGACGAAGACGACGACCCACGATGGCGACGGCGGGTCCCGACCATGACGGCGAGCAGCGAGCAGCGGCGAGCCTGCGCGCCAGGCGCTCGCTGCACCAGGCCAGGGTGGCCCTGCGGGCCGCGCGCGGCGGCGCATGTGCGCTGAAGGCCTCCTCCGCGCGGCGGCGCTGGCGGCGCTGGCGGCGCCGGCCGACGACGGCTGTCGGAGTGAGAAGAGGGTGCCAATACCGCTGCCCTCGACGCACGGGGAGAAGAATATCGAAAATCAAAAGACGGCGTGAATCTAATTTCTTTGACTTCTGGGAAGTATATGTGCATGCCGTTTTGCGTATGTTTTTTGTTGAAGAAGGATATGAAGAAGAAGAAGAACAATAATAATAAGAAAAGGCAGAAGAGAATGTTGATAAGGAAGGTGTGTCAAGGAGTTGAGGTGGCAACGTCTTGCGATCCATATCGCATCCGCTTGACGCCCTGCGGCTGAGCCTGCTAGTTTGCGTTTGGGCCAAGAGAAGGGTAAAGACCGCGGCGCGCTACTTCCCATTTTCTCGTCTTCGTCCTCGCCGTCCACGTGCATCCTCATCCTCCTAGCTGGATGAGAAGAGGAAGAGGGCTCAGCGGCATGAACATGAACTATCTAAGGTCCGCGCGGGTTCCTTGAGTCGGCTCTGGACCTCTCCTGCTGGCGACTGTGGCGCCGCCCATGGCGCGCCGATTCAAGCAATCTGCCCGCATCCTCGATAGCTTATGTTTATGCGTCTGCCTTTCCGATCATCACAACGACGGAAAAATGTTCCAAGGGGCCCCTTGCGTCTTTGCCTCTCGGCCCATTCTAACCCCTTGTTTCGCCACGGGCCATGGGCTTCCAGCCTCGGGTTCCATTGGAGTTTCCAAGAGCCTTGTATCCTTTCCGCACCCTTATGAACCAGTCGCACCGCACCGTTACCCTCAGACAAAGAGCTCCCGACCCAGCTCGTCCGCCTTGCATACCGCGGCCGCCAGGTCTTTGGGTCTCCCGCTTCGCGTCGTCGACGAGTGACGGCTCAAGGGCTATTCACAAATAGTCGACACCAAGGCACGGAGCAGACACACATCTAGAACACAAATACACAGCACGCACACGCAACCGACACATAACAACAGGACGCGACAGCCGCAAACAGCATACATTTTGATAATCGACGCATCGCGAAATTGTATGATTGGCATCGAGGTTATACATGCACAGGCTCGCATACATCATGCATAGTATCCATGTGCGTCTATGCGTAGCACACAGAACGGGCGTACTTGTACACATGGAGCCGCACAACATTCGTACATGACAAGCATTCGCACCGTACATACAGCATTTGTATCATATCCCTTAAACAGTACTCGCAATTAGGCGTACTCACTGGTTGTCTATGGTTCTGGGCCTGCGGGTCTGTCTCCCGTTCATGTTATCGCCGTCGCCGCCCCGCCTCCTTGTCGTCGCCCGTTGCCTGGGCTTGCAGGTCGGTCTGGCGGCTCAGTTCTCGCCGTTGCCGCCCCGTCGTCGCGTGGTCGCCGCCCGCCGTCTGGGCCTGCGGGTCGATCTGGCGGCTGGGCCTCGTCGCCGCCTCGTCGCCGCCTGTCGTCTGGGCCTGCGGCTCGGTCTGGCGGTTATGTTCTCGCCATTGCCGCCCCGTCGCCGCCTCGTCAAAACCGAGTGCCCCGACACCACATGAAATACATGGTTTTGCAACATGAATTGTCAAAAATGCCTGCGCGCGCGCCCTGGCGAAGTCTTAAGAAAAATGCCTGCGCGCGCGCCCTGGCGCTGGTTTTTGGTTTCTGCCAATCGGGCCTCTCGCACTGCATGGCGATATCATTCGAACGTCCTTGCGCGCGTGCTGGGGGACACGATCCGTGTCAAACAATACTACGCGGTCACTCGCACGTCGGCCGCGCGCGCATGTTGAACTCCATCCAAAATCTTCATCACCGACGCGAGGCGCCGTCGTCGTCGGCGGCGTGATCAGCATCGGCGCCGCCATTTTCCGTGCCGTCGTCGCTGTCAGCATCGTCGCCAGCATCGTTACTATCATCATTGTGTCTAGTTTTGCCGACCGCGCCCGTCAAATTGGCCGTCGCGGACTCGCACTGAAGTGCCCGCTAGGATGTACCCAGCGGTCAGCGCCGCCGCTGCCGCGTCGGCCGCGCCAAACTAATTGGCCGCTGCGCGCGCGTGCATGTGCAGGCTAGCGCGGCCGCAAAGATGCACCAGCCAACGCCAAACACTCATCGCAGTCGTTTCTGCATGGGTCTTGCAAACCAAGTTGTGGGTGTGTGGGTGGGATGTTTGCGCGAGCAGTGGGGTGGACAATTCACTGCGGACAGGCACGAGTTTTCTACAAAAGAAAAGCGGAATTCCCCCCCCCCTTCGGGTTTATCTGTCTTCTTTTTCGTATTACAATTTACATACGATTCTGCCCCATCGCCCATTCCAAGTATGACTTCGTACCACCCCAGCCGGGCCGGTATCGACCCCCCCCCCGCCATTGTCCGCGAAGCATACTATGCGTGCGCATTCGTTTACCCAACTTCTTAAGTTTGCGTGGGCCCCTTGCCCCCCCCAAAGAAACGAAGTGCACGCGCGCGCGTAGTCACGCGCACATGCCGAAATCTTTCAAACACCTTCGGTTTTGAAACGAATTAAAAATCGAGTGTCCGAAACTTAGATAAAAGCACACACCATTGCAACATTGCTTTTTCATATCGAAATTTTCATATCTGAATACACTTGCGCGCGCGCTCTTGTGATTTCTTGCGGACACCATTGGTGTTTCAACGGTTTCCGAAAATGTTGCCAAAGGGGTTTCGTGCGTGCGCATGTCGAAATCGTGCGAACGCCATTGTGCGCGTGCTGGAATGGCACGATCCGTGTCAAATGATACCATGCGGACCAGTCTCGCGCGTCTGGCGCGCGCGCGCGTCGAACACATTTTCAAAACCTTCAGCACCGACGCGAAGGCGCCGTCATCGTCACCAGCGTGATCAGCATCGGCACCGTCACTGGTTGCCCCTTCGTCGCTGTCAGCATCGTCCCCAGCATCGCTATTATCATCATCGTGCCAGCTGTTGCCGACGTTGCCATGATACCGCCCCCGCCCCAGTCGCCGACTCGCACTGCAGTGCCACTTGGGATGTGCCGAGCGGTCACCGCCACCGCGTTCGCTGGCCGCTGCGCGCGCGAGCATGCGCGGGCTAGCGCGGCCGCAGGGACGCACCAGCCAACACCAAGCACTCATCGCAATCGCTTCCGCGAGGGCTTTGCCAACCAAGTTGCGGGTGGGTGGGTGGGATGATTGCGCGAGCAGTGGAGTTGACAACTTCAAGTTCGGAGAATGAACTGCGCCACGTATTTTGCACAACAGGGTGCACCACATAGATTGCACAACGTGGGTACCAACACGCAGGTTACGCGACATAGCTTGCTCCACATCGACTGCGTGGGTTGTACCACGTAGATTGCACCAAGCAGATCGCACAACATATGATGCTAGCCATTCACTGTTTTGGGGTCCTTGCTGGCTACAATAGGCATACACGTGTTTAACAAATGCTGTGGCTGCAAGAGAACAGTCGAGGTGTATTTCGATGTGTTTTCGGCTCCGCGAGTTAGCTGCAATGTATGAAAAAAAAAGGTTTTGCTTCGGGGGTCCAGCGTCGCCGTATTTCACCATCTATCCAGCCTTGGGAGCGCGAGCGCGTCGCAATTTACGAAAAGGTTTCGGCATGGTGCTCGCGAGCGCGTTTTGATTTAGGACGGGGTGTGGCCTCGCGAGCGCGAGTTTGTGGTAATTTTCACCAGATTGGGGCCTCGGGAACGCGAGCGCGGCGTAATTTGCAAAACATCGTGGCCTCGGGAGTGCGAATTTACAGCATTGGGCACCACGAGAAAATCTGAAAAACCCAATTTGGGATGGGAGCATTTTCTTTTTCTGACTTCGGGCTTCGCGCAGACGTCGATCAGTACATGGTTGGAACCAAAAGCGGGAGCATGTATACAGTCAATTTGGGAGTGGCATTGCTGTTTGGAATAGGGACGCAGACGCCTCGCAGCCGGTTGCCCCCATTGGGGCCGGCGGTACCGTAGCCGTTTTTAGTTCAAGCGAGGTCGACATCCAGGCGTATTTCAGTGAAATTGATTTAGCGTCCAGCCCAGGGCAGCGATCATTTGGCTCCGATCTTATCATGTTTATCCCCGTCAATTTTCTGACGTTCGCTGTCATTATCTGGCGGTTTTGCGGCTCTGGGCTGTATGCCGTCTTACCGCGACGGAGTTCAGCTCATGTTCGTTTCAATGCCAAGGTGAAGGGGCTGCTCTCCATGTCACCACCGCACCCGTTGCATCGTCAGTTGAAGGATATGGTGGACAAATGATTCTCAGAACAAGTGGTCTGGGGGTGCCCTAGGACACTCTGCTGTGCCTTCTGCTATAACATGTGTCATCTGGTCCAGAATGATATGTCCTCAGCGGCGCGCCTCGGCAACCGGGCTCTGACTACATTGCTTATTGCCGGTGCTCTCAGGCCACGTTTGTTCATTCCTATTGTCGTATTATTGTTCCACGGGCTCCTCTATACTGTTGTCTTGTACCTTGCGATCATTGCCCATCGCAATCTCGTTTTCTTGAAAGCCAGCCCAGTGAGAATCTACGAACGCATCGCAGTGAGCATTGTTCATTGCAGACCTACCTGGGTTGACTTTTTTGGGGGGGTCTTGTGTACGTCGCAGCTGTTTCGCTGCTGTATGAACCCGCTGGCACGCGTCAAGAGATGATTGTGTCGCTCCTCACGTTCGCCATAACAGCATCTGTCAGAAAGTCCCGCGACGCTGAGTTGTCGGCAATGTTGGAGGCGAAGACGTCGCGAAATGTTGAGACCATAGCTGGTGGGCTCTTGTCAAGTGTGTGCGACGCGGTGGTGCATATGTCGCAAGATCTTCGGTTCTCAAAGCCAACCGCACATCTTGCCGCGCTGCTTCTCAGGCCCCCGACAACTATTGATATTGGCGTTTCATTTGTTGATCTGGCCTTCGACGCTTGCGAGAAGGGCCGTGTCTGACTACATTCTTGAACCGACCAATATCTGATACCAGAATTGTTCACGTTTCTTCGAGAGATT